CCATTGTCCTCTGAAAACAACACACCTAAGACCTAAAGAGTGAATGTGCTACTAACAGTACTAACACTAATTATTGGCTCTATGAGTTCTGGTCAGTTCCAGCCTTGATTTCCAATCAACCAAACAAGTCCCAGTCCCATGCCTTCATGTACTCGGATTGGTCAAAGGCGCCCTCGGTGCAAGCATTCCCGAAATAGGCTCGGCTCTTCATCCCCAGCGTGACCTGGTCGGAATCCAAAGCGCCAGATGCACGCAGCTCCAAGAATCGGATTCAAAAACGAGAAAACCAGCTGATGACTGGTGTTGGTGAAGCGGCCCTTCGACCCTGCGACGCTGCGATGCTTGTTTTGAGGCCTGCCAGATGGTGAGCCATACAGGGCTAGATCTCTGCAAGTATGAAGGCAAGAGGCATCCACGTTTTCCGGTGCTTACCATTGCATTCGGTTGAGCAAGCTGTCAAGGACAAACAGTGGCCATCCAAGTGGCGGAGAGGCCATCGCCCACGATGTCCCGGCTGGCAGGGTCACCAGGCTTGTTCACGCTGGCGCTAATGAGGCTGAACTCCCCCAGGTTCGACACCTCCAAGGTGCCACTGCATTTGCCTCGGTTGGGCGATCCTTCAGGCCATATACCTGGACCGTTGTTGACAGGTCTTAGTTGACATCTTCCCGGGTCCCTCTGCAGGTAGCCTGAATCAGTCATTGTCCCCCATTCTGGGCCGGGCCTCCACTGGCTGACCAGAGTGCGGAAGTCTCTTTCTTAAAGAAGGAGCTCCCATGCCCACCGGACAGCCCAAGCAGCGCCAGCCTCAGCGTTTCAAAAAGATGGAGACGAAAACAGGTTTGGTAATGTAGTGAGAGAGACCCTGTCAGTATATGGGAATTTACTGAAGTCTGGCGTGATTCTCAGAGTTTGTAAGTGGACAGTACACTGCAACATGGCGGACATAGACCAAATCGAAAGCGTGGGAATCTCCTTGTCCGTTGGTGTAAAAACCGTTGAGTTGGACATCGCCTGATTGCACAAATGGTGCAGGGTCTTATTCACCCGTTGCAACTGCCGTTCCTGGGGTTCATTCACAGCGTCAGAATTATGAACCGGAGTGTTTCCCCTTTGAATGAGATGATCATCCTAGAATGGAATAGATCTTGCTTTTTGGATCCAATCTTCTTGTATATATAGCACTGTGGAATAGAGGTGACTCTGGGTTTCAAGGATCCTGAGCAGGACAGACCGTTTTGAAGCAGCTTGTGGCCATTAGAATGAGCCAGCTCGGTCAGAGGTGGACATCCAAGCCTTCTCAATCAGATTACAGTATATATATTTTTTTGTATCTAGGTTTCACTTCTTTTCCCAGCCACCTACGTGCTGGTCATTGACATATTGTAACCGCCAAGAGCAAGCCAGGCCACAAGCCCAGCAGTGCCGCTGCAGCTGCGACGCCCCGGCCGTGCCACATGTCGCGCCAGGTTGGAGACGGGGTGGGAATCAGCATCTCATCGGAGTCGCCTTAAAGTCGCGCCACGCACGTGCACACACACACAAGTTTGTGACGCACGTGTGTGCAAAGAGTCTTCTGCCAACTAGTCCATCTCCCGGGCTCGTTGCCAAGTATCCGGAAAAATTACACAAAGCTCTCTCCAGCCATTAGCCCTTGGGCCCCCCTCGAAGGAAAGGACCTTCGGCAAAATTGCTCTCAGCCACCCCTGGAAAAGCTGTGAAAAATATAATAAACAGAATCTGTGGACTTCCCCAAGAGTCTTGACTTTTGAGCCGTACCTACATGTCATACTGTCTTTTCACGCCATCTTTTGAGCCTCATCATCCTCTCAAGCTAGCAGCACCAGCAATTTGTTTTCAGGAATAGACTCGACCCGAGCATGGTTAAAGGATTGGTAGACGGGCGCGTCTTAAAATGGGGAACCCGCTCAAACCATCAGGCTTAGATTAGTTGTTGGGTCTCATTGAACGCCCCAATTTGTTTTGCTCTACAACACCCATTGTGTTTTTGACAGCAACCGTGACTGAGAGGAAAAGAACAATAGAATCCGTCGAAAGCACTATATATATATATGTTGTTTTTTGTTGAAGCTTGTCAGGGACCTAAGCACAATCATGGCAATGAGTTCATTAGAGGAAAACGTCTATTGTATATAATGTATATATATACTTGTACAATAAAGGAAGGTTTGGATTGGCAAGACAGTTAAATGAAGGATGGGTTCAACCACGGCTGACAACTATTGTCAAAAAGATTGCTTTGGAAAGAAGCACTTGCAAATAATGTAGGATGATCATTTTCACAAAGGAGAGACCTTAGTGTAATCGAAAAGACGTTTTACCAAAGACGATATGGTGAAACTAAATAACACCCAATAGTGGATGAAGGATGCATCGATGAGTAGGTTTTTTGAAGGAGGATTGCACTTGTATTGCGAACACATACTAAATAAGGAGGTTTGGGAAAGGAAAAGACTTGGGACAGAAAGAGATCTATGAATGATGAAACCTTTTTGGTTTGGCAGAACACCCTTGTGCAGAGGGACATTTGTCTAAGGACAATATGCGAAGGAAAGACATTGAAAAAGGAAGACAAGGTTGGGACAGAGCAGGAGATGTTCTTGGAAGGGAAAAAGTCCAAGTAAAAGCATGCTGACAAAGAACAATATACCTAAGCTGCTTGCGCGAGTGTTCATGCTCGTTCTTCTGGGGTGGGTTGGACGTACCAAAGTAACAAAACCTACGCCTGTATATACCTGCGCCTGTATATACCTGAGAGGGGAGGGGACGAAAGCCAGCCTCTGGCTTAGGGGGTGCTCTCAGGGTAGGCTCGGGTAACGACGCGGCGTGCAAGAGGAAGTGATGGAGTACCATCGCGAAGTTGACATCGCAGCCACAGGGAGAGGGCGTAGAAATGGACAGTAGAAGATATAGGTCTGGGGGGGGGGGCGCCCTTTTCTGTTCTTGTTTAGGGTGAATTTTGAAATGAAAAAGGGCACCCCTCAGGAAGTGAGGCGCCTTTGCCGGCGGCGTGTTGCGAACCAGGGAGCAGAGACGGCGGCGGGGGCGCACGTGCGAGGCAAAGGGTGGGTAGGTGAGGAGGTCCCCGTATATAGACATCAGTGTGCAAGGTAGAGTGGAAAAAGAGCAGCAGGAAGTGGTGAGGTGGACATGGGAGCGACGTGCGGGTGGAAGATGAAGTGATAGGCTAACATTATGTAAAGAGTACGTGTATGGGGTGAAGTTGGCATCGCAGGCACCCGATAGGAGGTAGAAACCAGACGGTAGACGGTAGAAGTAAAAAGGGGGGTGCCCTTTTTCGTTCTGGTTGAGGAGTGCTTTGGAGATGAAAAAGGGCACCCCTCAAAATCCTCAAATCTATTTATATGAGCTTGCTTGCTGCGTGTTGCTAATCAGTGAGCAAAGACTGTTGTGGGAAGCCTATGGGCGAGGCTATCGGCAGGCTTTCGTGAGGATACATATATATGTATATAGGTAGAGTGGACAAAAAGGAGCCGGAAGTGGTGAAGTGGATATGGCCATCAATCGAGATAGAATGGAAATAGACAGTAGAATACATAGGTTTGGGACGGGGTGCCCTTTTGCGTCTTGATGTCGGACTGTCGTCCAAAAAGGTTTGGTATGGTGTGCTGGTCTATGTTTCAAGTGAGTTGGCGGCTGGCTTTCGTGCGTAGATACTCCCCATATGGGGTGCCCTTTTGAGTCCACCAACTAGACCTTGCTACGGATAAGAAAGGGCACCCCCAAGCAACTCAAAACCTTCCGCCTCCAACGCTTGCCCGCAACTGCAATCAGTTCTCTTTCGTGTTCTCAAGCATACGGTGACTTCTAACCAGCTTTTCACGTCCCCTTGTCTTCCCTTTCCTCTCATCGACGTGAACTCCCACCCCTAGTAAAAACAGTTTGCATGGCCTCCTGAGCCCCTCATGATCCTGGTGATGCACTACTCGCCGTCAATTACATCACCGGCATCACAACACCCAAGTGGCCCGCCTCTTTTTGTCGCTCTCCCCAACCAGGCTCTGGGTTTACCTCTCCGGAAGTGACCACCCACGCGACCACCCCCCCCTTTACTCGCTACGTTCGCTCAAGAACCTCAAGCCCAGCCTATCGGCTGGCTTTCGTGACATTGATAAACAAATAGACAAAAGTGATCCCCAAAAACAGAGTATATAAAGTAATCAGATAAACCAGAAAAATGTTTCAGGGAAAATGTGTCAATCTCTAAAACAAAACAAACACAACAGCTTGAGGCTGGATTTTGTCTGAAACAGTGTTTTGGTGGTTATTTTGTGTTCTCTGTTCGGATGCTTGGCTTTACCACGACCATCTCCTATCTGCAGGAGTCTGGCCTTTGGAGTATTCATTGAAGAAAGAGTGTAAATCACTGTGTTTTGTTGGAGCAGTTGTTTCTTCTCTCCTTGCAACAGCAGCTCAAAACCCTGAAAAGACATCTCTAGAGCAGGCGTCCTGTTTTTTGAAAACACCCAGACCCACTCCTCATCCCTTACCGTTTTGGCCCACGAGGCTGTTGAGCTCCATGTTCACCAATGACCTTGCACCGGACAGCTCCATGGTGACACTCCGCGTCTTGTTGAACGCAGTCACTCGGAAAACAGGCTGTGATCGAACGACGCCTGGCCCTCAGAGCCATTCGGCTGCAGAAGAAACGGATGTGCGGGAAAAAGAAATAATCTTCCACTCATCACAGCCAGAAACCTTGCTGGCACCCACTGGGTCGTTCAGTGAGTCTCGGCCTTTAAGGTATACAAACCAACTAAGGCAATACAGTATAGGCGTGCGAAGCAGTCTCATAATACCCAAAACAACACCTCTGCTTTGTGGTCCACTTGTGTGGTTAAAGATGGCTTCCTGTCATAAAAGCGGGTTGCTGGAAGAGAGAAAGGAGTTGATGGCCCACCAACAAGGCTAGCATGGAAATTTCTGCTCACCATGAACCTCGGGCTTGGCACCCCGGCTGCTGAAGAGACGAGCAAGCCACCCAAGACGGGGGCCAGGCAGGCCAGCATCTGCAATACTAAACTAATTTAGGACATCGGCCAAGAAGATTATTGTGTGAAAGGTAGAGAGAATATCCAAAATCCAAACATATATCTCTATGCACTGCTAATGCATTGATGCAAAGAGTAATCAAGGGCTTTTCTTGCAGGGAACTCATGGGTGCCGCTCAGAAAAAGTGCATATACTCAAAATGCTAAATCATATTTTTGGTACCCCCCACAGCCTATTTTTCATTGAATCTCTCATGGTTGGGATGAAAATGGAAGGGTGCCCCACATAGAATCAGGAGGCATTGTCTTCTGATTCTATCGAGGGGTTTTTATCCAACAAAAAGCGGCAATGATATGTTTTTTTGGATTCAAGACTCGAGACTAAAACAGTCTCTGATTCCTCAATCTTTTACTTAGGAGTGTTTGCCACCACACCCAAGACTGGCTAAATGAACAAACCTGAGATGACCCACTTCATGTCATGCGTTGTGTATGTGTGATTTGATCAGTGCAACTTTCGGCCACGCCTACGCTGTGGCATTGTCTTGCAAAAATGTCAAAACTGGTCGAAACCATAAACCCGAATGCAAAACACCTTGTTTCTAGTTTTTGGACTTGAGATTCAAGAGTTGTAGTAGATGTCTATTTTTCTTGGGACTCTTGAACCTTGAATCAAACTATTGTTGAAGGCAAAATGTCCCAAGACAAGATCAAAGACTTAAATAAGGTTATACTGTATTATGTCTGGGATTCTTGGATATTGAAATTTAGGTGGCAAAGGCTCCGAAACAAATGCCAGCCCTCTCGGCTGCAGATAATGTAGCTAGATGTTGATGTTTATCTTGCATAATTTCTTTTTGACATCTACTTCTTGAAACAACTTAAGGTCAAGGTTTTTGACAAGGACTGGACGTTCAAACCGGTTGATTGTGAATGTGTTGTCGTTTTTTGCCGCAGCTTGCATGTGCGCATCATCACCATTGCAAATGTTGTTTAATTCCTGTACTTAAGTGTTGTCTTCAATGAAGCCTTCTCCTCTGCAAAATGCTTTCCTCTGCAGAAAAGTTGGAAAAACTTGTGTGGAACACACCTTGGTAGCATCAATAATTACAGGAACCCTTGTCGAACGCTATTCAACCCTATTCGTTGCTCCAATCAAGGTCTTTATGAATATACTATACAGCAGAACTGGTTTGGAATTTAGGAGCAACCCTATCACAAGGATTTGATCCTGCAGCGTTGGCACGCAGCAGACTTCCTAAGAATTACTGTAGTTTGCAAAGTGTTTGTGGAGCATTTCTCTACAAGGAAGATACTTTTCTGAGGGCGAGAGATGTGGGAAAGAAATAGACTATATAGGTTCGCTTAAAACTCAAATTAACACAAAGTTATCACACTCTTTCCTATAAAGGAAGCTCGTTGAGGTGCCCTATATGTTACAGGAAGTCCTGAACCGCTCCTTTCCCCATCGGATTTTGGCATCACAATGCTGCAGGCAGCCTCTCTGAAGTTCGATCGTAGCCGAATGCTTCGTTCGAGGGGCATTGACGTCTTCGGCTGCGGATCCAGAGCTTCCTGCCGGAGCGATCAGAAGTTATTGGATTTCCGAGTTCTATATATAGCCTCCTTCTCTGTACATTGTCGGCCCAGTCCAAAGCGCCGTCAAGGCTCTAACCTTGTCAACGCCCACGCGCGAGTGTACAATGGACGCGATTGTAACTTGGTTCAGGCAGTTTGGTCCACCTGTTCAGAAATGCTGCAGCGACGCTAACGTCACCAATGGTCAGAAGCTCCTTCCACTGCACAAAATTTCCCTGTCATTGCTTCGCTGTAGGTTTTTTGCAGAAGCACGGTGAAACTTACAGGCAATCCACCCATTGCCCAAGACAGCAGAATAAGCTGCACGAGGCCTTCCAACACTAACGTTGAAACACTGCCTGTTTCTTCGGGCCGAAAGTTTGGAATAAGTGCCCTGCAGTAGATTTGCACCCTAAACCAATGTAAGTTGCTGCCTGCAAATCTACTGCAGCTCCTCCACGATGCAGTGTCGTTTGTCGTCAGGTAGTTTCGCCACAGTGTGGCAACAACTTCAATGCGCCACCCGATCTACTGCAATGATGTGGGGCTTGTGCCACAAGCGCCTGAGTATAAGGCAGTATGGGTCTGCACTCTCAGAGACCCTCTTTGTGAATCCCTGGTAAACCACTGGTATATTTGTTTGTTACTATTAGACAGTACATATTATCTTGCCTTTCAAAACTTGAAATCAGGGTAGCCCATCCAGCAACAAGAGCTGCAACGAGTCCGCCCTCCAATGTCCGCCCAATCCCTCACTGTAGGCTGCAAAAATGTAGCTCAATCTATGGGCGTACAATAATCTTACTATGATTGGAAGACTTCACAAGTTTGTGTTCGTCTGTTGACAGTTCTGCAGTATATCAAGCTACTACCCATCTACCTGCCGACCAACCTACCTTTAATGTTCCTTTGACGGAATAGAGTGTCCCAGTAGAATCTGAAAATGGAACCTGGGCTGGATAGTGGTTGCTGCAGTGGTTGCTTTCAATTTTCATCCATTTACCAAAAAATAAAGACTGAGTCCGCCCACCCCACGTCTCCAAGCAGTGAAGATCTGGATCCCCAGCCTTGCTTCGGCTTCGCGGCCGGCAACGGTCAGGCTTTGCATGAATATCTGTGACGTGACCATCCAAGACTTGCGGGGACACTGGTGGCTATTGGCCATGACGAAATCCTGAAAAAGTTAATAAACACTCAAAGACCCGCAACATACCTGCACCATCCTGCTGCAGCAAAAGAAGGTCCGTTAAAAATAGAAATAACAACTCAGAAACTGAGAAATATACCAGGTGCACTTTCTCGTTCCATGTATCGCTCGCACGCCTAACATCGTGCGGGAACCCCACAAGTTTTATGAAACACACCCTCACCCCAAGCAACGGCTCTTGGGTGTAGAAAAGTCACCCACCTGCACAAGTTCTATCTGCGTAAAGCGGCAGGGTATCTAGAAACCCATTGTGCATGGCCTGCACAAGAAGAAATTCCACGGAACCACGCCAATTTTGTACACAGCTCGAACGCAATGTTACACCATCAAGTTGGTAAGGAGTGACTATTCTGTTCCTCTCTTGCGTTGAAATTCCTTGGAGTCAAAGAAGAGTAGGTTTCTCCATAGGGATCTGGCAGTTTTGTTATCACTGTCCACGGCAACAAGCAGCCGAATCTCAGGTACCCCACACGGATCCGCAAATGTACCTGCGCGTAGAAGCGCGTAAGATAGACGTTGGTTCCTGACGAAAATGCGGGTCTTGGTCCAAATCAGCTGTAGCAGAGCAGGGCCTAGAATCGGCATGCCCTGAAGGAATGGCATGTGGTACAACCCGAGGAACCTTTGTCCACTTCCGGAAACGTTCGCTCGAAATTCACAAAAGTGCACCAGGAAGTCGCAAATGGTTCTTCTGGAGAAGGAGTGTCCGGATTTCCGGCTTCGGGTCTTTTACATCGTAATATATATATATATACATGTTACATATATATATATAGTATGTGTGTGTAAATGTATTTGTGTTTTACATGCTTGCCCGGTTCACACTCAACCCTCTGCTTTGTCTCTCTCCAGCCAAATCTGTGCACGTGTGGAGGTACCATCGAAACAAGCTTCACGGCCGGCGGTGCATGAACAGCGCTGTTGAAGTGAAGCTCCTCCATACCACCACCAGCACTGACAGCAGCTGCGTCTGCAGATGTTGTGCGTCCCCTTCCTGCTTCAAGGAGAGCAGCACGCGCACTAAGAAAGATTGCATTTGCGCAAAGAGGCTGAACTCTATTCCGGACTACTTCGGGGAGCTTCAAAATCAGGTTCATGGCGCTGCTGTACTTTGCAAATAAATCTCTAAAGGTGTGATACTCTTGGGCCCCACCCAGAGAATCTCTGTGACCTGCAACCCCTGGCAAGAGTACATCGCCTCCAGCTCTCAAAGTTCCTGGGGTAAGCACTCCAAGAAGTGGAGATCTTCAATGTGCTGAGCAAGAGGTTATAATGTCTACGGTAGGTATTCGAAGTTGCAGGATACAAGCGTTCATCTGCTCCCAGGGCCAAAAGCTGTCTCAACTGCATATGTTGCCACTTCATTTGAAGCTCGAACCTCAGCTCCAGTCTCCTCAGGCTTCAGGCTAGTGGGACCTAGGCTCGTGCAGTTTTGTCAGCCCAGAGGCGTCGAAATGATGCAATAATAAGAGTAATATTTGAGTTCCTTTCCTGCAGCAAACCAAAGATCCCATAGTTGTGTCCAAGAGATCATCAAAAACAGTTGCTGGTCTGCAATCCGAAATCAGCCGGTCAGTCGTGAGATTTCATCCAGGCGAAGCAAAATTCCTGCTCTATGGCTCGTCCGAAGCTAAGTCGGCATGAACAACGCCAGCTGAGTGGCATCAAGGGCAGCCAAAAGTGCGAGGTTTCTTTTCGAAACCGCACTTTGATGCCAGAACTACCTCATTGTAGTCTGCGGGGTCCAGAGCAAACCTGAAATGGCCCAGCCCAAGTAGATGGGGCGCGCAGGCTCTGACAAAATGTAAGCTGGGCCGCGTTCTATCGGCTGCGCTTGCCAGACCCGGTAGCAGGCACGCACGCCAAAGCTGAGCGCTCCAATGTGCTTGGAAGCAATCTTGCCTGACGTGAAAGCTCCATTTTTTCGAGACATTGGCATTGACCCCGACTCGGATGAGCCCGTCTAGCAAGGCCTCCAAGGAGTTGTCAGATTTGTCAGAGCTGCCACCATTGGATCCATCTCCTTTTTCCCCCATAGCTTCATCAAATTCAGCGCCACCCATTGCTTCAGTGGTCTTTCTTAGCCGGAGTGGCTTTGGGAAGATCAGGAAGGCGAGGCTTTCCCGTTGATGCCACTCGGTCCTCTAACTGAGCCGCAGGAACGCCAGCCCTGGGCCGAGCGCCCGACAATGCTGCCTTAGCTGGTGAAGTCGCCACTGAAGGCTGCAGTTTTTGCATCGTCGCCAAATTCTCCAGCAGCTGTTCCCGGATGCCTGAACACTGTGCGAGCTAGGGCTGCGACGTTCGCTTCAACCAGGCTGGACGCAAGAGGCAAAAAAGTCAATCCTCATCAAAAGGAACTGCCACTTCGCTGCCCAGGTCGGATGAAATGGAATCCCAATAGTCCTGAGCCAGCACTATTTCACACGCAACTGGTTCTGACAAAAAGGAACTGGGAGCTATCAACACTGGAACTTCTCCAACGCAAGTTATGGCAACCCGCACTGGCAACCCAGTCAATGAAGCCCCACAAAAAATGCCCGAGGACGTCGGCCGCAAACATCGGTTCCCCATCTTCTCCTTCCATCTCTGACATCAGGCAGGCCAAGTCAAGCCGGCCTACTGCACCTTACCCTCCCACTGCGAAGAAATCACTGGACCGTAAGCCTTTCCGTTGATGTTGCGGACCAGCACGTAGATCTTTGACGGAAGGCTCACCTGCTGGCGGCCATGATCCGCACGATCGGCGGAAATAGTCCCCAATGCTCTGAGCTATCTCCTGCCTGCATTCCTTTGTGTATTGAGAGGTTGCGATACGCCCAGAAGGGGCAGTACCAACAGGCAACTCAGGTAGTTAGACTGGAGTGCTCAACAGCAGGTGCAGCTGGGGTGCTATCCGCAGTGGTAGGGTGATAGGTGACCGTAACAGGCAAAAGTGTAGCGAGACTGAGGTCTGATCGGGGAGCAGTCGCGTGCTGTTCCAAGGCACCAACCCTCTGTTCAAAAGCCACGAGCTCACTCCTGAGCGACGCTCATGCAAGCGGAGCCCGAGCCACCTGCCACTCCTGATCCAGAACTGTTGATTCCGGAGGAGCTGGAAACTCAGAGCGGCCCTCAAGACGATCACTCAACAGCCTGCCTTAAAATCAATCCAATCAAAGTGCCAGCCAATGAAAGGTGACTTCCTCGCAGTAACAGCCGAAGCCAGTTGGGTCACGGAAAAGCGTGGACACGGTCGCCGGACGTCGCCGGTATCAGGCCGGATTGAGCAGCCTGTGATTGCACCAGGCTCATTCACTAGAGCCACGAAAGAGCTGCTGCCGGAGAAAGCGTGAAAGTCATATGTGGCGAGAAAGAGGTCTTTTCTCAACCTCTCTTGGGCTTTTGATTGATCCAATGCAGTGTCGTATTGATGGATGTATGAATTGTGACTCCTATGGTCTCTCCTCTTGGCCCCCCAGATCCCCAGCACAGAATCCCTCCGCACAGTAACCTCAAAAGCACTCGCCATCCCCTCCGCAAAAGCATGTATGCTTCCTGCAAAAACGGAACTAAAAACACCCCAAATACAGTGCACAGGGGGCTGCCTGAACTCTTCGAACCAAGGAGCCCTTCAACGTGCAAAACTGTTCAGCCAAATGAATAAACGGTTTTTCCCAAACCTTGATTGGGTGAAAATGATCAAGATAGCACCTCCCCAAGGTGGGGCTCGCAGAGGCGGTTTTCAAAGCTATTTGTGAAAGAACCTTAGGCAATCTGCGTCTTCTTCGAAAGTTACACGATGGGCATAACAAAAGACCTGTTTCGTCATGAAAGAAAGAAAGAAAGAAAGCTGGACAATCGAAAGTCTCCGCCAAATACTCCAAGTAAATAGTAAACACTATCTTGAATGATGCTGGTGATCACATATACAGAGTCCAAGTTCTGTTAGCTTGTGAAGGATCAATCAAGAGAATCTGTGGCGTTACTGAGCTTCCAAGAGCTGCCCCACAGCACGCCCAGCGCACCAGAACATGGCAAGCCCGGGCGCTGTCGCATCTAAGGAACGGACCCATGCCTCAGGAAACACAAGCAGGAGGTCTACTCAGTCTACTCGCGGAACAAAGGCACCTTCTTGTTTGGCCTTTTCCATTTGTAGAGAAGCAGCGATCCATGTGACAGCCGGGATGCATTGGCTTGGATATCTTACAGACATAAATCACAAATGAGGCCTATTGCGTATCTATTGTAGTTACAGTTTGGATAGCAGGATAGCAATGTTCATGCCAGTTTCAAGCAGGCAAAAATTGATTTTAGATGTTGGGCAGAGGGGGTTCATCAGCTTGAGAAAGAGATGCGGCGGCCCCCGACCTAAATCATGCGAGCTGTAAAAAGGAACAGCTCCTGTCACACTTGCTTTACCGTCAGCAAGCAGCTCCATGTGATCGTTGAGAAGGTGCTTCATCAACGCCCGTCTTAGGACCTACGAGCGATGGCCTCCAACCTACTAGAGATTGGTACCAGCTGGTGGACCAGTTGGTGAAAAACTGTGGGGGCCGACAAGGACCCCCACGCCCATGCCATAGGCACCCGCGAAGCCACAACACGAGCCCAGCCTGAGCTGTGAGTCAGCGCCGGTCCGATCCAGTAAGAAGAAAGACGCAAAACCGAGAAGCTTTGGTGGATTGCATGATCAGCAGCAATTGGTCTCTCATTAGCTAACCTTTGAACAAATTGCACTAAAGAGAAATTGAAGTTTACTGAAATGCCTTTTGGACATGGTGTCCTCCTGGTGACTCAAGCGCCGGCCCAGTCCAAAATTGGGAAGGCAAAACCCTTGGCAATGGTGAAAACCGATCTGAGACTGAGAATATCCCCGTATTCTCAGTAAACATGGGGGGCCATGGACGAGCAGTCGGAGGTGGAGGCGAGCAGTCGGATTCTTGAATATCCCATAACACTTTGAGAGGCCGTGTGGTCAACGACCGCAAACTTTGGATTTCTAGTAAAAGTGGAAATGTTCAACCCCACCCATCCGTGCACGGAATTCCGTCATCTTCCATCAGTCCAGGCACAGAACTTGGCTCCCTTCAAAGCCCCAATACACGGCCGTGCCTACGATCACGGCAGCCTCTGGATGTCGGGGCTGTTGACAAAGAAGTCCAGCAAGCAAGAAGTGGATCTTAATCGACTCCCCTTGTTGAGGGAGGGAGATCCCTCAAACAGAATTGCCAGATCAAGGGATTTTCAGGCACCTGAATGCCACCGCACATCAACGCAACTCCCTCACCTGGCACATCACTGTGAAAATGGAGAAGATCTGCAGATGCCACGCTTCTGCCTCTGCAGGCTGCAGGAACAAGGCATGCTGTCCAAGATTTCGAAAATCCACTAAAAATACACTAGGAATCACTAGGAATACTAAAGTCTTAAGACAATGGAATCAAAGGTATTCATGAGAACACAAGTCATCTCTGCGTTGTGGTACAAACCCATCCCATCTCCACTTCATCAGCAGGGCCGGAGGAAATTTGTCATTCTTGGAAGATGATCCCCATAACAGTCATCATTCTGCTGAGTCTACTTGAGAACGACTCTGCCTGCCACACTCTACTTGCAGGACAACTCTACTACAAACGTGCAAGAAGTCACCCGCGTTGTGGCGGCACATCCCAACAGGCAGGTTCTTGTTCTCTTCGCACGCCCAATTGGACCTCCCTGTCATCCCCATCCGACAAAAGACATTCCAAAACCTTCCACGAGGTCCTGGACTGTTCATGAAAAAGTTTACGCAGTGCCACTGCCAAAGGTCGAGAAAAGACTCCGTTTCAGAACAAAAATGTTTTGGTACACCCAGTTTTGTAAGATTGTATGGTGCTGTTTCGAGATAAGATCGGTGAGTAGCACACGAATTCTCGAAGTCGAAGCCTCCTGTCCAGCCTCGAAGCGTGCGGCAAAGGCGGCCGCACAAGCCCTGGCAACCACGATCAAACGCGCGGCCATCGAAGGGTGCGCAAAAGATCCGATCTGGCAGAGATCTTTACGATGGATATCGATCACATTCGATCACCCAGGTACACCGCTGATTGACAACTGGATATGGATGGCGTCCCTGAAACTCAAAAGGGAATTGTGGTGCTCCTCCTGAGAGTGGAATTGGAGTGTCCTTCAAGACAGGACTGTCAATGGGGAGGTAGAAGACTCATGGTCTGAGCCATGCACAGAGCCAGCGTGAACAAAGCTTTCCACAGCTGTGGCCCGTCCTCAGGCATCGGGCACAAGGATTCAGGATCAACCATATATATATATATATGCTACCCCCCCCTGTACCTACTTTTAGCCCTTGTTGGCAATGTGGATTCCAGACCATGGGTGCATTGCTTGATTCTGTAAGGTTTTGCTCTTTTTGCAAGTGGTATGACATTGATAGGATTGTGAAACCTGTGTTTTTTTGCTCTATGCGCAAAAAGTGAACCATATTGATTCTGTGAGCGACAAAACAAAAGTCCCGTGCGTCAGTCACGCACCATTTCTTGAGCCAAAACGCGAGTGGTCATTTGACCGGTTGACACCTTTCATGGTGACTGCACATCGAAAATCACATGTCCCACACTCCCCCCACTGGCAGTGCCAGTACACATAGGAGGTTCATCAGTAGGTTTTTTCTTCTACTGCTGCTCCGGGACAAGTTCGAAACTCCCAGATGAACGGGAGTTTCGAATCACTCACATTCAACCGCTCACTTCGTTCAGCAGACTTCTCAATGCCCATCCACATGGGCAAGGAGTCTGCCTCAGGTGGCAGAAGATTCTCCAAAGCCAGAGGTGCATCGCCAGCTCGCTCGGTATTCTGCACTTCACCCCTTTGAATGCAGCCATCCAAGCACGCCGCATAGCCACTGCCACCCTCATACTCCACAATGTCTCGTGCACTGACTTCCACTGGACCAGGCAAACCCGGCGGAAGACCAAAGCCATCTTGTCGGGCCATCGCCGCAGCTCCCCGTTCCACAGCTGTGGACTGTAGAGGATCAGCACCTCCATAGCCCGCTCGATCCCTCTGGATGGAAATGCCTGGAGTCGCAGGCCGCTGCTCCACTTCCTCTCGAAGCCCTTGCCCATCACCGGAGACGAAGCGAACATAGAAGAAGCTATATCCAACCCATTCATACACATTCTCCACATCGCAGTTGCGAGACTCGGTCCAGTCGTCAGTGACCACACGACGGCGCCACTGCTGACGAGTACTCTCCCTGCTGAAGACGACAGATACCCTTGTGGTTGACATTCTCGCAATCATGAAGGGGGTTCCCCGATGCAGGGGATGAAAAGCCCTCACCCTTTTCTTCTTCAAAACTCTCACCCACCATTCACCAGCTCCATTGCCCGAGCCCAAGCGCTCCCAGCGATCAGCGCCCGTTGGCGGAGTGGCAAACCTGTCCAACTCCCAGGGGGTGTCGGTTTCCAGTCCTCGGTGAGTAGTCGGCACCTTCATTGCACTCAGGCGCAATTCAGCGCTATTCCATGGCGGACAAGGCGCGGAGGCACGGGTGCCAAGCTGGCAAGTGTCGAGACGGCGATCGACGACCGAACCTACCTGCCTGATGTCCAATTCCTTTTCACGGACCAGCCTAGCAGGGTCGGGTTCATCTTCCCTCGACCATCTTCTTTCTTCTTTTGATTGGGATGCGTTAGACCTCTTTGTTGACTGGCCCTTGGCCGTCTCAAAAGGTCCACAGGCAGTCGATGCTGCCAATGCTGCAAGACCGACCAAGGAGGCCACTCTGGCTGTACTATCTACACCCAGAACTACCGCGAGAAGCCCCAGCGAAGCCATCACTGCATAGGCAATCTTCTTGACAGACGGGACCACAGGTTCACCAGCTTCACTCGCTGTCGTCCGAAGACCTACGGCTCGCCGAAAGGACTCCCACAAGGACTGCTGGGTAATTGACTTCGTCAGCAAGTCCGCACAAAGCTCCACTCCAGGGACATGTTCCACATCCCACAGATGATGGCGAAGTCGTTCCCGCAGTACATGACTTCTCAATCTCAGGTGTCTTGTACGCCACGGACCCGATGGAGCTTGCAGCAACTGCAGACCAGACATGTTGTCTCCCCTTAAGGTGTAGGATCCTTCACGATCCAGTGCGTTGTCCTGAGGACGTTGATCACCGCGCCAACACTCTCCCCCATGGTAAGGCCGTCGACATAGCCCAACAATTCACTCTCGGTGGTGCTTAAGGTAGCAAAGGCTTGGACTCCCATGTAACCAGGCAACCACCCCACATCGCCATGAGGCCTTGATGTCCCTTTCCACCCGCCGGCGCGAACGATGAGTCGGTGAGGATGTCGAGCCTTCCCATGCTCTGCACCCTGCCATACTGATCTGCTGCTTCTGAACACGGGCCAAAGTCCAAAGCGAGGTCCACAGTGCCCGCCCCAAGTAGCCCAAAACATGTTGCGACAGCTCCAAAACACCCTTTGGAGCCTTGGTCACCTTAGCCCCCAACCAGGAGACTGCAAAGCCTGGTTCTCGTTGCCAGCCACAACAACTCACCAATTACAGTTTGACACTGCCTCACGTCCTCAGAACAAATCACCTCCTCCATTTCCAGGTCGATGATCTTGGGCAGCGGTGAGGACCTCAGAGTGAGGTTCTTGCGCCGATTCACAATCTCCCTGGCATAGTCCGGTTGACCTACCAGCAAAGTTGTGCCTTCCCATCTCATCTCAACACCACAGAACTTTCTCCATTCTGTGTCCACCACCCAGGTAGGAGAGGCACGTTGAAGCCAATTTGGCAAGAAAGGCATTTGCCACCTGTTTCTGACCCATCACAATGAAGTCATCCACGTACGACAGCGCAAAGCCCCTCACGCACCCCTCATCCATCACATTGACGTAGTCATCCTCTCGGCCCTGAGCCGACATGAGTCTCCACACATTTGGCTCCGGAATGGCATTGATCCAGTAGTGAGTTCCATTTTCCCACCACCTCATGCCCCGAAGAACATCATCACGATAGGCTTGCCAATCAGCAGGAGAGCTGTCCAAGCCATAAACCGCCGCCTCCACCACCCATCGGGTGTCCTTGGACATTAGACCAGCTTCCACTAAGATAGACGGAGGTTTGGTGACCATAAGGCGCGACGACTTCGAGGTGCCAGGAGGAACGCTGAGGAAACATCAGTGATGCCAATCGCCCACTGCTCCTGAGCTGCCTTTCGCAGAGCACATCTCAGCGAGCTTCCATCAATCCCACTGGCATAGTGCTCAAAAGATCTTCCTGACTGTCTCGAGCCACAATCACCTTTCTCCGTCTGCGGATCAGCATCCTGAGCCCGAGACTTCACTGAGGTGTCCTCCACCAAATTCCCGCAGAGGACAATTCGAGATCTTTTCGGGGCCTTCACCGTCGGGACAAGCTTCGAGGGGACCACAAGCATCTCGTTGTAGCCCTGAACTTGAACCGGTCTCACGGCCCGAGTTGTCTTCTCCAGTGAGTTCACCTCATACTCCAAGGACGGTGTCCAATCCTTCAGCTCCTTCCGAACCTGGGCCAACGGTACCGTGTATGATTGCACCTCTTCCTTCGCCACCATCATTGCAGCTGCCCTATACGTCAGGTTCCCATCTGCAATCTCGGTCAGCATATCCTCCAAGGCCATAACATTCTTTTCCATATAGTCCAAAGTAGAACCGTGCAACCGACCTTCTTCGTCCCCCACGGCCACCTCCTTTGAGAGATCACACCAAAGCCTTTTCCACCTCCAGTGTTCCTCCTCCAGATGCTGTGCGAGATCCAAGGCGTCCTTGAGGTCACATGGCATCGTTCCATCAACCACTCCTTCCTGCGCCTTCTCCATGGGTGTTTCGCAGAAGTCGCACTGATTGCATGGACCCAATTTTCTCATTGACTGCTTTGGCATTTGGAGACCACACTCCTTGCACACCCTTTCATCGCCTGTGGACCCTTCTCCAACTCCAACCGATGTTGTAGGCGACGAAGAAGATGACATAGACTCCCCCCCAGTCCAAACATCCGTGAGGACTGGTCCATCTCCCCCGGAACCATCATTCAGCGAGCGTAGTCCAGGGTCTGGTAATCTACGTGGTGGAGGAAGTCGAAGAAGTACAGGTTCCATAGGCTGCTTACCAGTCAAACGCCTTAGTGGCTGATCCCTTTCAGCTTGAGGGTCTGTTGATACTGCCACTCTTGCACGCTGAACTTGACCATCCTCAAACAGCACATAGCCCTGTGTCATGAACGGCGAGGGTCCCATCAAGGTCATAGTTCGACATGGCGGGGTAAGCGGACCAAAACCTGCTCGATGCCAACGCTTCGACTTCACAGTGACTCTCCCCCCAATTGGCAAAAGCGGAGGGCTTGGAACCCCCAGCTTCCTGCACTGATGCCGAAGACGTTCTTCACCAACATAACGAGCAACTCCTGGCCACCATTTCTCCTCCAATCCGCTCTCCTTGATGAGAAGCCTCAATCTTCTTTTCACTTGATGTACTTCACTTTCAATTCTGCCATTTGAAGGTCCTTCATCTCCTCCCGTCATGGTTTGATAAAGGCCAAACTTCCTGCAGAAAGACTGAAATGCCCTCGACAGAAATGCACACTCTCTGTCGGTGTGGACCCTCAGCGTGTTCACCCCCAATGGCCTTGAACCGGCAGTATATCCGTGTGGCTGTCCTGGTGACATCCAGTTGAGACCGACTTCCCAAAGGCTCCACCACGGTGATGTTCTGAACTCCCACTGGTTCACTGAGGTCCTTCACGTGATTCTTCCAAGCCGCATTAAGGTCTTGGACCTGCTCCTCCATGACCGGATCACTGGGGCGCTCTTCATCGCCAATTGGAAGAGGTTGACCTTCTTCCCCCGGAAGTTCTTCCTCCTCCTCCTCAGTGTCCTCCTCCCTGGGCAACTTTGGGACCGCAACTGTGGCAACCATAATGTACTTGACCTTGGTCCCCATTCCCACATCTTCACCCTGCGGCATTGGTCCCAGGATGTCGTAGGACAAACAGTGTGCTGCCTTATCACCCAGGCCACGTCGGTGTGGAGCGTCAATTCCCATCATCTCCATGCATCGCCAACAGTCTCGACGGTATGGTCGATGCTGTGATTTCGAACATGTTCCTTCCAACTCTCACTGTCCAGTTTGGACACCTTTGATTCAGCTTCACGCTCATGTGATTCACCAAGTTCATGTGCATCCAATACCTGATGAGGCTCTCCTGAATCGCCGCC